AAAATAATAAATAAGTACTCCTACATGTGTAACTTGCGATGCCAAAAATTTTGAAATAATGATTCAGTCTTGCATCAATATTTCTCTTTGATAATTTTGTTATCTTAAATACGCCCCGCTTTCGAACAGACGGCGAGAAGTGATCATAAGGAAATATTTATGTAAAGGGATCTTATTTCAGTCATTTCTCCAAGATTATTACTTGGCATAAATCAATACTTCGAACATTCCAAATTGCCTTTGCAGCTTGGGAAACATGTTTTAAAGACTCTCAATTTACTCCCTTTCAGAAGAGTAAAAGCGAAACAAAATATATCACCAAGCATATCTGCCGTTAAGAACTTTTTATTCGACATAGTTTAGGACTGTTTATGAAAGAAACTCGTCATGATATTATCTCAGGTCATTCATCTTATGACACATGAGGCTTCGATTTTTTTAAGCAGTCATAAAGGAACGTATGACAAAAGAAAACAGGGGGAAAGAAGAAAAATCTTTTGAACTCATTACTGTTATCTACTGAGTGTCAAGATTTTTTATTTTTTATTTTATTACTGTGAATTCAGAGAAACCTTATTTTTTTCTACGACTTTAAATATAAAAAACGAGTTACATCATGGGTAAATTAGAGAATTACATCTTACAGGAATAACATTCCGTATGCGAGTGACAGCAATGTAAGAATGTAACAGAATAAAAGTATAAACATAGTAATATTTTAAATAGCTATACGTTATTGTGCACACAAAAAAATTGCATAGTTATAAAAATTTAGATACGCAAAATAAGCAAGAAGCTTACTACTGGCTGAAGGGATTACAATGTTGAATGTTGGTAGTTCGACCTGGGTTCGAATGGTTTGGCTGCAAGCTTGTTTTTTTTGGAGGGGATTCTATATGCAACGGCGATAAAGTCACTGAACACTAGTAATTCGACTTGGATTTCAATTATAGACGGTCGGACTGGCTGCATGGCCGTTTTCGTGTTTTTCCCCATGTATAACGCGTACAGAGCCAGGTACCCTTAGAAAGTCCTTCACGAAGTCGCTCCTCTTTGGAAGATAAACCTACAGTGCTTTACTATAATCCACTAAACTAAAATCACGTGTAAGAAGAATATCAAAGTGATTTCCCTTAGACTTCCACAAAGGCCTCCCTTCCAACATACAGACAACTTTTCATGCTTTGTCGCATTTGGCTAAACATACAAACTAAGCAAGAGAAAAGAACATCACATTAGATCTGAGGTTTCAAAAGGTTTCCTTCTTCAGTAGTGGGAAGAACAATTAATGTGCCAGCTTTTCAGTAAGAAAAGAAACAAATGATAACTTACCTCACTTCAAATTTGGTAGCATTACTATCACAGTCATTATTCAGAAGTTTATTGCTGATAAAAAGATGGTGTTTGTCTTTTAATATAATATATTCTTGGGAGAATTCAGAAAATATTTTCATAACAAGTAATTCAAGAACGCTAAACAGGTTGAATGCAAAACCTGACTGCATAATGTTTTTCAAGTAACAACACAATTTTAGCAGAGACCATTTAAATTTTCATCCCATTGTAAGAAAAAATAATTAAAAAAATCTTTACTTAATTTTAAAGGAAAATTACATTACTTCTGATTAACTTCTTCTGTCATCCCAGTCACAGATGTTTGCAAGTATGCTCCGATATTTGAATTTCTCTAAATTCTAAAACAAACATGCATTTATTTTGCTTGTTACTAAGAACGTAAAATATTAATGGAAATCATTTCAATTTGAATCTTGAACACAGAATAAAATATTAGTGTTCAATGAGTTTAACGGAAGTTAACTGCAGGTTTCAGAACTATTTAAAAATAAAGTTCACTACTTAAAATGTCTGTTAGCAATTTGACCCATTTTGTAGATGCTTACTATATTGAATTAGCTTTTAAGTTTTCCTTTAAATATGGGAACGCCTTGATTAAGCTTGGTTTCTTCTGGATGCTAACGTATTTAAAATATCTGATAATATTATTCAAAATTAATAAATTCAAACCGAGAAACAAGGACACACAAAATATTAAAACAAAGCGGAAACTTACTAATTCTGCTCACAGTTTCCTCACTGGTGGCGATACTTTACATAAATTTTAAAGTATTTATAAGCATTGGTATCGGGCATTAGGATTGTAAATATATTTATAAATTTAAAAGTAATTACAATGAAAACTTTGAAAATCAATATGCTATGAATCGAAGAATATAATCAATATTTAAGTATATTTTTCCAACTTAACCCATAACTAAAACGCAACTGACGTTACTTTGAAATTCTTAGTCAAATAGCGTTTAGTAGGCCTTGCCAAAATTTTACTTAAAATAGCTTAGCTTAGTTTATCCATATTTAATATAGCCGAAAAGCTTGGGCCCTTAAAAAAAGCAAATATGAAGACTTATTTTTCACAAAGGCATTAACTTATTTCATCAGTGTCACTAAGCGGCCTTATACTCAAGGCATTTTTAGTAAAATTCACACTATAAAGTGAAGCAGTTTTATCTGAATGGATAAAAATAATCTTGTCTTTAATATTTTCACTCATCATAGATGAATTCAGGAAATCCCAATATTCTCACAATACATCCTTTTCATGAAATCAAATATTTCTATGCATTTCCGACCTGGGTTTGATACCAGGCGAACGGGCTTGCTGCATGAGCGTTTTCATGGTTTTACCAATGTGTAACGAGTATACGAGTCAGTTTCCCTTAGAAATTCCTTCACGAAGGTTTCCATCCTCTTAGGCAGATAGCCCACGAGTATACAAACCAAACTGCCATAATTTAATAAATCATTCCAAATCAAATCAAATGGAACTTTTCATAACATGTATAAAATTTTCCAAAATATACTTATATGGACCGGTGAAACGTATAAAAAGTTAGATTTTGTAATTTGACAAAACTAATTTTTTTTAAACTTAAAAATGCCAAAACACGAATACTTGCGTCATTTGAAACTCTATTGTGTAATTAACTAAACCAGAAATTAATTAAACTAAAATTAACTAAACCATAATTAACTAAAACAAAACAAATACTTCCAGGACTCATTAAGACCGAGGAATTCATTCAAAGAGTAATGAGAAATAATGGCATGTAAAACTACTCAGTCTGAAGGACTGAATAGAAGCAGCAAATATTATATTTAAAATAAAATAATGACGTGATATATTTAGATTGCGTATTAAAGTAAAATTATAATATAATGCTTTTAATCATTTATTATATATTATTATTACACTTATAATGCTTTTAAAGGGAATTAATAATAACTAAATAAAGATACTGTTAATGAGAAAAATCATATTAAAATATTTGAAATGAAAAGCTAAATATGCTCATAAAATTAAAATTATCCACCTGAAATTTCAGCACTTTATCTTCTTACAAGTGAGGTTAATTAATTAAGGCAAAGCAACTCGCGAGTTTATCTGCTTCACATTTAACTGTAAAACCCATGTGGGAAGAAAACATATCTTGTAACAGTATTTTTTCCACATGGGTTGTACTTTGTACAATTATTTTGAAATGAAGTATCATATGACTTAACTCTCCGTTACACAACCTCAGTTATCTCAACTGTATCTCAATCCTATTAGTTACCATATTATAGTTATTATCTACCGTTCAATACTTATAACTGGTAATTATTATAACATTTAATTCACAAACACATTATTATTTTCATAACCGTTTTCGCTTTTTGTATTAAATATCAAATTGCACCTCAGAACCCTGTTCTAAGGCTTCATTAATTTCGTTTGGTTGAAAAAATTTTACATATTCATAATAATTACTTACATTACATAATAAATTACTGAACATAAGAAATATGTTGCTTATAAACGATAACTTGTATTTTTACTTTATTTAATTGATCGGTTTTCACTCATATTTCTGACATAATTATTACAAGAATGCTTCAAATTAGTTTTGGTTGTTATTCGAATTTAAACTTGTTAATTGCCAATGGATTCACATTTTAGTTCCTTATCCTATGATTAAAACTGCTGAAAAATCATTAGACATAAATAAGTTATTTTAATCGAAATATAAATAAAAGAGTGGATCGGCGATAAATTCGAGACCAAGAACGTTAAAAATACATCAGTTTTTACCGCCTTATCTAAACACAAGCAAAATCAGCCGAAATTTTTCCTGCAGCACATTTATTTAGTCTGAAAGAAATTGTTTCAAAAGTTTATGTTGTGAATTTCTCAGAGATATTTTTTTCCATATTTTTAGAACCGACTTAAATAGAATTAAGAACTACATATAAAATTCTAATACAAGAATTGTTCATTAGAATGAGATTTTATATAAAGTTAAAAAGGGATAAAGCGAATATGTTGCAATTAAAATTTCAATATATAAATAAGATGATTTACTGTTTGGAAAACAACTTTATTCGGTTTCATCATTATTTCCTTCTGTAAAAAATTATCTTAACCATATCTGATTCAATAGAATAATGCTTTACTTACCTCATACTATGTTATTCGGGAACATACCCTGATATGTGAAATATTCTGATAACACCATCAATACGCATTTCTTGAAAAGCTTAATTTTTGTTTATAAAGCACACACTTCATTAATTCTTGATATAATCTCATCACCAAGCGCTCAGTAATCTTGGCGCAGAACACCAGACTAAATTCGAACTTTTAACACTTAAAATTACGTTCAGCGTTACCAATCTTAAAAACTTCCCGAAGTATTTATGCAACTTTCTTTCCACTCCTCTTTAGCCAGAAGTTGGGCGTAGTCCAACAAATACTTTGCGAAAGTTATGTCAGAGCAACTTAACTCTCTCTAATGAAATAAATAAAAATGAGATACGTTACATTTAGAACTTAAGTGATATACCACGCAGACATTCAGTATGCCTTAATCTACATTCTATACCTGATATGGTAGTTAAAATGATATCGAATAGAATAATTTAACAGTCACAGTATACATACTTACATCTAACATCTACGACTCGCAAAAGCTCTGTGAATGCGATGCAGTTATACTTATGGCTTATAATTCCGAAAGGTTTTGATCATCTTACATATTACATCAAGCACACGTACGTTTTATGATGACGCACATCCTGCAACTAACTCAAACCAACTTTCGAAACCACATGTTAGCTTTTTCAGACAGATAAGATAAGCGTGTAAGATTAGAAGTCGATAAAGAGCGGGTAACATAGATGTTTCAATCCATTCTTTTATCATACTGTTATGTTCCCCGTATAGTCTTAGACAGATAAGGCAACTTGAGCTTACAGGAGCAAAGATTTTAAGTGGAGTTGGCTACAACTCTTGGGTTAGCAGTTTCTAACCGCTGGCCTCTTCCTAAACGACTGTATGAGCTCTCCAGAAAGGCTCGTAAACTAAAGAAGGCATTTTTTACTCTTGATTCAGTGGACTTCCTTTTTTTGCTTTGTCTTGTGCGTTGTTTATTTTATGGAATAAGAGGTAAGGTTGGGAGCGCCATCTCTCGAGGGTCGATCAAAGCTGCTAAGATACTTTTGCAACTATCGAATGAATAAGAATTAACAGACATTTCGGAGGGATGTTTCGTGGCATGATTTTGCATGTTAATATATGTGAAACAAACACTATATGTTAATATACTTAAAATATTATGACTTTATTTCAAACATCACTGCTTGCTTGTTTACTAAAGTTTAACAATACTTTTGTCGGAGAGAATATTTTAAGAATAGTAACAGGAAAATAAAAATTATGAACAAAGGAAGTATACATAATATTTTAAAACTAAGCATAGGAGGTAAATGATTTCCTGAGTCCAATCAATCAAATACAACTGAGAAAGAACGCAATCTAGCTTACATATTACATCAAGCACACGTACTGCATTATACACGTTGCGCGACTACTATTTTTAGTACATTGTTAAAAACTGCATTGTGCAAGAAATGGAGTAGTTGATGGTAAAGCGTACCACATTTGTATTTTAAATTTATTTTTATGCGTTAGGGGTGAAGTAGTGCATAACTTATCGTGTCTTTTAAAGAGAGGCGAATGAAATCCCTTTCACGTGCGGCCTAGAACCTTAGAAAAAGGTTAAATTAAATACACCAATTATCTATTAATATTTTGTGGTTATAATTACTCTATATTATCAAGGCTACGTCTTTAAGGATACATAAGCGTTAAATCTATCAGAGAATAAATTCTACGATGTCTTTTTTAATGGCAAAATAAATAAATTTATCAAATCAGATCTTTCTCTTTTTCGAGGATTTGATACATTTTTTAAAACAGAAATAGTATTTTGAAATCAAGGATGTTAGGTACGATCACAAGAAAGAGAAATAAAAGTGTGGTTCCAATCTTATGATAATAAAATTTCTTATACCCTGATTGTTAAATTGCTGAAATATAGGTGTTTATATTTAAAAAAAAAAAATCATTGAAAATTCATTACGATTTAAAAAAGATAATTTCAGCATGGAATATTTCATAGGAATGAGATCAAAAAATAATTCTAGAAAATTAGGTATATTAACAGGAAAAAAAAATGTAGTACTGTAAAGATTTTCTGACCAAATTTCCAGACTCAAATCTTTTGCTACAAATATTTAAGCCTCATGAAATTATAAGAACTCTGAATATTCGCTTAATTTATAGATGTGTCCTTTCTAAGAAAGTGAAATGTTAAGTACATTTCAAGAATGCAGAGAAAGATATACACAATTCAATGTAAGGGGCGTTTCTTAATCTATTCTCGAGGACAAAAGAGAAATAAGGCTGCTATGAAATTATCTCGTTCTTCAAACAAACTTACTGCACAGATAACCTATACATTTATGGAAATTACACTACATTAAAATGAAATATAATACTCACAAACTAAAAGTTGCAGTACACAAAAATTTCCGTCGGAAATTGGGTTGCGCATAAAAGCACAAACGTTGGTTAGACTCTCTAACTGATCGATGCAAATGTGAAGTCCAGAACGCAAGAGCACTTCAGCGTCAATGTGTCACTTATCAGAGGAAATCCGCAGCAAAGGATTTCCTCCTTGTGTACGCCTTTGCTTCCGCGATAAAGCCAATCTTGTTCCCTTCAACGGATTCCCCTTATTATGACTTTGTTAATTTAGCCGCAGCTGAATAGCCACCCTCACGAGACGTAGGGCGTTCGGTTGCACTGAAGTATAATGTAAGATTATTAATTGCGCAAAGCAACAAAATAATCGCTTTTTATTTATTATTGAAAAAAGTGTTCCCTATATTAAAAATATAATTGCAGATTTTCTTCGCTTAATGAAAATAGAATGTTATTGGGAAACATTTCGTATGCCAAAATAGCTTAAAGCGAAGAACCAATTAACGTTCATTTATACGAGAATGTTTCTGTGTGCTCCGAGGCCGCGAAAAGAAATCTATCGAATCGAATGAAATAGCATAAAAAAAACTAAAATATCATTGAAATGAAAACTGAAAACAGATAAATGCCCATCCTCAGTAAACAAAAGTAACATGTTTAATATAGATTGATTTTACAAAATTTGTGAGAAAATCAACCCACCAGGAGGTTTATAAGTAGTGGTGGTGACAGTGATTCCTTGTATTGAGTATTCGGAGAGTTTGTAGCGGAAAAGGCACGACAATTATGGTATAAAAGAGCGATAGAAGCTTGTTATTGGCTTACAGTTTCTATGGCTGCTTCCCTAATGCTGAAATTCGAATTCTGCCGTGTTCTTTGGCTTGAAGTAAAACATAAAATTTTTTGCTCAGATTGACATTTTCCCCTCTCTTACAGTTATTTCTATGTAGTAGAATGTTCTGTAAAGTTAGCTTAATTGTGAATGTTCTTTCCCAAACATAGTCATATTTTTCAAACATCGCATAAAGCAAAGCACGAAAGGATATTTTCGCTTTTTTTTTTTTTTTTTTTTGTCTTCCCTCCTCCCCGCCTCCAGTAAAAGCGAAAACACTCTTGTTATTTCTTTGGTAAATTATATTAGGGCCAATGTAAATATTTTTTTTTTAAAGTTGCCTTAAAGAGGATTTTTAGCAAAGAAATAACATTATTATCATTATCATAGAAAGACATGAAGAATCGCGAAATCCATGTTTATAACGTGCATGAAATACAACAGCCGAAAGTCAAATGGACTATCGATAACTTTAATTGAAGGCCTCAGATCATTTGGATTTTTTACCACAAATTGAACGTCATAATACTTACGCAGGCGTACTGAATATACATAAATTTAGAACATTAAAAATAGGTACTTCATAAGCCATACATGTGTTGCAAATTTACTGAGGAATAACAATGCTCTGGGTTAACTGCTTATCAGTATTTTCTAGATTAACATCACCGACCGTTTAAACCGACCATTTCAAACCGACAGTTCTGGGATAAAGGTTATCAGTACTAATAGTTTGTCAGAACTGGCGGAATAGATTTAGCAAATTTTGAAAGAGAACTTCAGCTTTATTGCAATCCATAGAAAAACAATCTTTAGATATTGTGTTTACAATATTTAGGTCAAAGGTATGATGCCCGATTTCGAATAATACCTTTGTAATATTTTAGTCTAACGTTTTCGTTTAAGTTTCCTTTCTTTCTTTTGAATTCCATTTCAAATCTTTTCTATAAAAAAGATGTAAATTATCTAAGTATTTAAAAAGATTCATCAAACCTCTAATTGAGATAATTGCAGAGAGACTAATTCGAATAGTGCACAGTCTCTCTGTGTTAATTCTCCTGAAGGATTCTGGATTCTGTCCATTGTAGAAGAAACTAGTTGTCTAGACAATGCGAATATATGCATGCTCCTGGTAAGTCCATTTATAATGTTGCTATTAAGAAAAATAAACTGGAAAGAAAGAGACTTGATGGTACTTTTATCCTTTGACTTAGACTATTCAAAATCCAATACTTTCCCATTTAAATAAGTTCAGTGTAAACATATATAGACTTGAGTTTGCCCAGCAGTTCGTAGTGGACCTTGTGTTGTTAATTTCCTTAGTTTCGTATGTCTACGAGTATAAGAAACATGTCAAATGTTTTGATTTGTGTATTACTTAAGTAGTTATTTTTAACTTCAAAGTAATAACGATATGAGCGAAAAATCGCCAGCAAACGCAATCCAGTTATCAACGTGTAATTTAAGGTTTGTAAAAGAGTGGAATCTTGCAAAGTTAATTCATATTGCTGTATTACACTTCATGTTGCAAAAATTGCATATGATCATTATCATTCTAATTCATGTCTCCTCATATTTATGTCATGCTTCTTTTTATTGCAGAGGCTCCCAAGCTGGAGCTTGAGATGAAGTGCCAAATGTATGTGATAAACAATGACCTGAGTAGTTGAGTTTATAAGGAAGATACTAATTTTATAACGGATGTGTATATTATTGAAAGACATTGAGAAATAGCAAAGTATGAGAACTATACTGTTAATACAATTTTCCTGTGTCATACTATGTTAAGCCCTACCAATGGCCGAGTGGGTTACTAAATACTTGGGAGCTCGACCTGGGTTCAATACCAAGCAAATGGGCTAGCTTCATGGTTGGTTTTGTGGCTTGCCCTCGTGTAACAAAAATGAAAGCAAATTTCCCTTCGAAAATCCTCCACGAAGGTACCCCTACCCTAGGCAAGTTTCCCTCGTGCTCCTTGAGATGTTCAAATAATCTAAACTAACCCATCAAATAATCAACTGAAAGAATTTAAAATTTAGAATATTTAATTGAGATCTCAAATTAGAATTCATACCGTAAGCATTGACTGTGTAAATATCAAACAACACATAAGATTTTACAGGGCAGGCAATATGTGAGCATGAAACTATTTTTCTGAAGTACAAACTTTTTTGAAGACCAGAAACAAACATTATTATTAACCCATATTAAATCATAAAGTTTTATTTCTTTGGATGAAATTTCTATGAAATTTGATAAAAAAAATTAAAAACAGAAACAGTGGAAAAAAACTGAAAGAAAATCATTGAAGGCAATGAAACGATGAATTAATACAACGGAAGAATAAAATATGAAAACAATGAAAAAAATCATTGCTTTTTCCTACATCTAAGTTCTGTAAGAATCCAGTTTGGTCTGTTTAATGAAGCTGGTATCATATTTAGATTTCAGGTTAAATTTGTTTAATTTTTTAGAGAATATTTTCATATACTTTAATTTTTTCGTCTCAATATATATTTTTTGAAAACATATACTATATATTGTAAGCTTTTATGTTATTTAATCCAGCTATCTTATTATTTTGCCTTTATTGTCACTTCTACTTTCGTCAACCCCCACCAAAA